TGACTCACATAAACCAATTCATATACCACTTTCATTACATGACAATTGTGTCCGTGTTTCATTTCATTTTCCATTTCTTATCAAATCCACAATTCACAACTACGGCTCAGAACCTGGCCAACAATTTACATGAGATAGTGACTCAACTTAAACATTTCCCATTTCACAATAGATAAGCATATAAGCCATATCAACATTTCAACAGATAAGCATATGAGCTATATCAACGCTTCCATAGACAAGCATATGAGCTATATCAACACATTAGTTGATAAGCATACGAGCTGTATCAACGGAGTCCATCCCCTATCTCCTCCCATACAACACCCGGTTTAGAGGTCCATCCCCTATCTTCTCCTAAACCGTAGAGTACATCCCCTATCTCCTCCCACACATACAATGTATATACACAAAGGTCATATACAAAATCAATCAATACATAACGTCAATGTATTCTTTCAATCGTCATACTCTATGACACATCCAGTTGATTAGTTTTAGTTTGCTTAATCATCATGCATTGTCTACAACAATCAAAACTACCCTCCACCGGCAGCCCAAAGCAATTATTTCTAAATAGATAATAAAAGCACCAACAGATAAAATATCCATATTTCCAAAAATGAGCGGTTAATAAATCCAACTTCACTAATCCATCTCATAATGAGCCAATTTGATTATATTCAACTCAATTCCATAATTTCTCAACAAATGTCATTAATTACACTAATAACCCAAATATACCCAAACACGGCATAATTCCCCTTATTCTCAATATTGACTCCAAGAGTCCATATATTACCAACAACATCAACATACTCATTTTGAAACCCAAATACATATTTATGGTCCAAAATAAACAAAACCCCCTTTTCAAAATTATACATTTGAAACCCTAGTTTCCAAAACCCAAAACCATTTACACAACAAACTCAATATCTAGGTCAAAACCCATAAGAGTGAGTAGGAATCCCTACCTCAAGAGATGAAACCCAACGAAGGAGATGACGAAAATGAAGATGCTCCAAATCCCGAAATTTTTGGATCAAAGTGTAGCCCTCGATCAACACCTTATTTACAAAGGCCAAAGGGTAAGAGATTACCCTAGCTAGATCAACACTTAGAGAGAAGTGGAGGTTTTAGAGAGAGAAGCTCTCAAATGGCATTTTTGAAAAGTAAGAGAGAGAGTAAGTATTTAAAAGTGATTTAAAAAATGCCCAATTGCCTTCTGATATACGACAGGTTCGCTCGAGCGGAAAACACAACGCTCGAGCGTCAAGAACAAAAAACTGGATCCGCTCGAGCGCAATAAGGCCCGCTCGAGCGCCAAGACACACGAATAAAGTACATTCGCTCGAGCGTAGATTTCCCCCTCCCAGAAATTTCACAGACAAAGTACTACCCGCTCGAGCGCCAACATACCCGCTCGAGCGTAAAGAAACCCGCTCGAGCGTGAAAAACATGCTTGCAGAAGTTTTGCGGAGCACCAAAATACTGGGAGTGTGCAATCTCTGCTCGAGCGCTATAAGACCCGCTGGAGCGGACCTCCTAAAAACTAGGTAACAAGGAATTGAAACCAAGGCCTAACCCACCTGTAACGACTTTGCCCAATACATCCTAAAACTCAAACAAATGGAATCAAATGATGACAATAAGATAGATACAACTACTAATTCCACGGAACCAAAGTCCGGAATATAACAGATATAGAAAAGGAAAACTGGGATCGCTATAGAAAAATCTTTAAAAATTCACTAAATACCAAAAATATAAAAAAATTACGAAAATTCAATACATTTTTTGTTTTTTTTTTGTGTATTTATTAATTTTTAAAAATATTTTTCCGCTAATATTTTACTATTTAGATAGATCTAAATAAGGTGTATCTAAAAAAGTTTTAGAAAAATGTTTAAAATTTTAAAAATATTCACTAAAAACAAAAAATAAAAAAGCTCAATTTAAAAAAAAAATTGAATTCAGAAAATTAAAATCAAATACACTGAATATTTTCCACAAACATTTTTTAACATAACCACTTTTTTTTTTAATGATATTAATAATGATATTACTTCTCTTAATAAATAAATTATTTGTTTTTTTTCCATATTTTTTTAATTATTTAAATTTTGATTTCAACTTTGAAATTTAGAAAAGTAAGGCAAGATGTGAGAGAGAAAAGAGGGAGGGTGTATGGGTGCAGAGTTATTTATTTATTTATTCATTTATTTTTTTTATGTGTTTGACTTTCAGGCGGGAAGTTGAAGTAGAGTGAGAGAGAGAGTCTCATCTCTACCCACGCCTAAAAGCACTTGCCACGTTGACATACTGGAATATGTAAAAAAATATGTATATATATATATGACCAATTAATATACATTAATGTGTATTTAGAAAGAAAAAAATTAAGTATAAATCTAACCTTTGGTATAGTTAACAAAATGGCTGCCCCAAAACTTAAACTCATAATATCAAAATTATTAGGTCAAGATTTTACTATTGAACCAATAGTCAGCCCTTCCTGAAAATATATATCATGTTAAATTTTTATTGGATATAGTGTAAATAATGTTGGGATCAAAATAATAGTCAATTACCCAAATCAATTCTCTTGAGAGAATACTCATTTTCAATACTAAAAAAAAATCAAACTTTGAATACAAAATAAAATTCAAAATCCAATCCCTACACAACATACATTACACCAATGAAGGTAAACCCAAAAACACACCCAGAAAACAGAGTAGGGAAAATGGAACAAATCAAGAGATAAGTAAACGGCTCAATTCATCTTTAAACAAATTAATTAAATTAAACACCAAGCATTCATAAAGCAACCAATCAATTAAACAATCAATAAACAAAAAATCAAGGTGAGTACGGAAGGATATTATGTGATGGAAATGGTGAAATTCCATTTCTGCTCTCTTCCAACCGTCATCGTGTTGAGTTCCAAGGAGAGCTCCACTTCACCTATAATGATCAAGGTGAACTTCGACATGCCTTCTATGTGATCACTAGTTGCATTTGTAGGATATCTTGAGCAATCTTAACTTTTACTTGAGCTTTTCTTTGTTGATAGAGCAATACTGGGTGGCCCGAAAAGAAGGTTGGCTCGAAATTCACCTTGCCGATCGTCCAGGAGGACGTTTGGCCAGTCGTTTGGTAAGGAGGTTGACAGCCGCGGTCAACAAAGGTGACAACCGCGGTAGACAATCTTTCACCTGGTCGTCCAGGCGGACGTCCGGCCGGTTATACGGGCGGACGACTGGCCAACACCCATTTGGGCCATTTGAGCCCCTTCTTTTCAGGCTACCAAGCATTTTTCTTGTTGATATATGAAATTCTCTCTTTTTCGATATCTTGAGCAATCTTAACTTTTACTTGAGCTTTTCTTTGTTGATAGAGCAATACTAGGTGGCCCGAAAAGAAGGTTGGCTCGAATGGCTCGAAATTCACCTTGCCGATCGTCCAGGAGGACGTTTGGCCAGTCGTTTGGTAAGGAGGTTGACAGCTGCGGTCAACAAAGGTGACAACCGCGGTAGACAATCTTTCACCTGGTCGTCCGGGCGGACGTCCGGCCGGTTATACGGGCGGACGACTGGCCAACACCCATTTGGGCCATTTGAGCCCCTTCTTTTCAGGCTACCAAGCATTTTTCTTGTTGATATATGAAATTCTCTCTTTTTCTATATCACATTCTCACATCTACTTAGATGTACAAAAGAATACTTTCTTAGTCAAGTCAAGTGGAAGCATGAACAATACCCCCATACCTTTCATTAATCTACGAATATGGACTTGCAACTGCACTATGAACAGTGTTGTTGAATTGCAAAGATAAAAGAATTCTACAAGATACGATCGATGTGGGCTCAAAGGTCACCGAACCATACTGGACGAGTTCTCACATCTTTTCAATTAAGAGAAACTGAAATAACACAAATTTTAAGACAATCTCAAGAAAGGTCTCTAAATGTTCCATAAGAGGAGATGCATAGTTGATCACATTTGAAATGTTGCATGAATAAGAATAGGAGAAAAATTTAAAAGACTTGCCACTTGCCTAAATGATTGACTCAGTCAAATTTTTATTTTTCTTGTTATTTGTCACTGCTACTTTTATTAATTTTTTAAATTTTTTTTGGCTCTATATGTCCTCTATTTTGATATCTTATTTGTATACAAGGCTGCTCGAAAAATATTGGCCAAGGAATTAATTCAAAATTTTGATTAAAATTTACTATTCAAAAAAGAAAAAAGAAAAAAAGCACACTCGTCAATATCAACAAAACAAATAAGCAAAATAGATTAGGAGTGTCCCAAGTTGATTTGATTCAAGTTGTACTAAATTTAAAATCAATAGTCATGATCAGTTTAAAATTTTTGAAATCGTCCACTAGAATGAACGCAACCCAAATCAATATGGTTCGAGTTGGTTCGACATTCCACTATAAATAAAAAATAAAAAATAATTAAAATAAACTAGTCTTTAAAGACCAAGAACTATGGAATTGAGATACATTATTTGTTTAGTGAAATCCAACTCAAGCTTAAATGCAAGCAATACAAATTACATTAAATTAGATTTCTTTTAGGTAAAATATTAAATACAATCAAACCTATTTTAATAAACAAAATAGATGAAAACAAATCAATATACATAAAATAATACAAAATATTGGTTCAGTTCTCAAGTTGGTTTGATTTGAGCAACACCTAAACCAAGATGAATCTAATCTTATCAAGTTGATGATTTCAGTATCCAAAACCAAACCAATACACTTAGAAATCAAACAAAACTGATACACTCAGAAACCGAACCAATCAACACAAAGAGGTCAGATTGGTTCAATTTTTTGATTTACTGGATATGTTGCACCCCTAAGATAGAAAGGTCTAAGTGCTTTATTTAATTTAACAACTAAACGAAGAACGCATCTCAATTTCATACCCTAAGAAGTCATGAATAACCCAAGTAAATATGAATGAAGTCCTTAACATGCTTCAAATATATATATATATATATATATATAAATATAGCTACCAATCCAACACAACAGTAATTCCAAAACAGAGTCAATACCTATAAATTAAAAAGTCTCCAAATAACTTCAGGCATATAAATAAAATTATAACTTTCTAAAGTACAGACCACAAAAACAATGAATTCCTACAAAACAATGTCGACAAACTTAAACTGGGCCATTCTTTAGTTATATGAACAATCCCCAACAACTTCAGGCCTCAAAAAAACAGCATCTTGTCATCAAGAAAATCATCGAATATGCAGGCTCTACAGGACGTCCTCAATATCACTACCAATTACCCTGTGACGTAACAAAAAAAAGACGGCTGCAAAAGAACATAATATTATAAAAATATGGAAGTATAGACAAAATTAGGCAAATTAGATAAATTCAAATTTAAAAAATGATTCACTGTGCACAAATTGGAAAATAAAAATATGGAACATATATAACTTACCAAAATTTTGTAAAATTATTCAAGCATAAATACACCCCAATAAAATTAAAGTAAAAACTGGAAAAGGTAATTTATTGTAAGAATTTAAACATCGACAATGCTACGTAGCTTAAATTTTGTGGCTCAAAAGTGGCTCAAATGGCCAAAACGACGTCGTTTTGAGTACAGAACAACATAAAAATGACCAAAACGACGTCGTTTTGGCCATTTGAGCCACTTTTGAGCCGCAACGAGACATTTTCCTTTAAACATTTCATTTATATTAGTGTTTGAGCCAGTGTACTATGTTGTTTATGTGGGTAACAAAATTCTGTTAAAAAAAAACTCTTCTTTTCGGTTTTTAAACAAATCACTTTTATCACCATTTTTTTTTTTTTTAACAAAACCCAACAACAAATAAACAGAGAAACAAATAAAGTTCAAGAACAAAGGACATGGATAGGAAGTAGATGATGAGCACTTACAAGGCAATGAGCTACCAAGGTAGGCAATCCATGAGCCGTATTTTATGATCAAAAACATAAGAATGGCAAGATAAGACAAAGGCTATAGCGATCCCAGGTTTACCCTTGTTGTATAGTGATCCGGACATGTTATGATCAAAAACATAAGAATGGCAAGATAAGACAAAGGCAACCATAAGCTCGGTAGAAACTCGAATCTTGGTGCAATGAAGACTGGAGGAATCAGTGCCAATCCAAAACAAGCAAAAATCATCACCAATCAAATGAACTAGGGTTGGCTTCATTTCATATGGATCCTCTTTGTATGAATCCAAAAGCCAACAGATTTGAAAATCTGTTATGGGCATCTTGATCAAAGTTTTCTGAACAAAATCATAAGCAAACAGTGACTAAAAATTAATCCAGTAGATAGTGGTAAGAACGACAATAGGTGTGCTAAGGAAGCGACCACATTTTGGAGGACCCAAACATTCCCAAATATGTTTTTCAACGTCATAGAGACACAAGGCTTTTGTAAGTTTAGAACAAACAAGGATTTTGTCAGAATATTCGCCTGTAAGAGGGGCAACAAAGAAATGCAGAGATGCAAGAGAAGCAGGCGGAAGAAGAGAAGGCGGGGGATTAGGCAAAGGATTCCATTCACCGGTTGTAGTATCTAAAAACTCCCCCCAAACGCCTGGAATATCAGCAGGATGGTGACCACCAAACACATAGAGCTTTCCATTGACACTAAGAACCGGAGTATTTGATCTACCACATAGAGTGGAAAGACCTCTCTTCCAACCCTCATCCGGATGATTAGTATCAACAAACCTAACTTTACGGGACCATCGACCTTTCAAATTCCCTCCACGATGATCCCCTCCAATGCGATATATAGTGGATCCGACAACAGCACAAGAAGCACTGTAACTACAAAACTTGTTCAACTTCATAAACGGAGAGAGTATTGGTGGATCCTCTCCTTGGTGGTGTTGCTCATGGCAGAAAGCCATGTATGCTCCTCTGATTTCTGAGGATGGGATTGGAAGAAGGAACCTTGCTTTCTCCTCTTCTTCCTCCTTCTTGTCCTTATTGCTTGACAGATTGACCATATACCATTCACTTGGATTATACATCTCTTCACCGGTAGAGACACACAAGCAGAAATTTTTCTCATAAGATAGTTGTCCTGTAGATGATGATCCCTCGCATTTTACCAATACTCTTTTCTTTTTCCCCCAACTCGTTAACTGCCCCAGCTCTGCCATCTGAGAAACGAAAGGAAAGTTTGTTCATCCAGAAAAACAATTTTTTTGGTCGATTTGTTTTGTGATTTGAAAAAAACACAGCAATAATTAAAAACTAATCATACTAACAAAACACTATATGAGTTCTCTCAACTAAAAATCCAACCCAACAAAACCCTAACTGAAAATTTGAAAGCTTAACCTCAGAGAGCAAATAAACGATCTCTACAAAACATCAAACATCAAACTCCAAAACTACTACTCTAAGTTCCAATATTAGATTCTCTTCGAATTAACAAACATACCTGAGACCGAGATAGGTGGATTGTGCTAATCTGATGGCCCAGTAGTCCTCCCAAGAACCCCCCCCCCACGTTTTGCGGCCCTCTCCGTTGATGAACTTGTTCAAACACAGAAAGGAAGGGTATATATATGCAGCTGTGATTAGGACCCCCACAGATTCCCACCCCACCACCCCACACACACGTGGGGGTTGGTGAGTGGGGGAGAAGAAAAAAAAAAAAAAAAATTTTTTTGACCAATCAAAATTCAAAGGGTTTGGGGTGGCTTTCAAAGGGGGTCGCAGTCTTTTTTCATATATATGGGCGAATATGATTCTAGGGTTTGGGAAGGGTTTCCCCGTCAATCGTGTCACCAAAAACGAATTTCCCTGCTGTAAATAATATCTATCTATACTATATATTAAGTAAAAATGTATTTTTAATCCCAAACTTTATGGGAGCTCTAATCTCCTAATTTAAATTTTTTGATTTTTTGATGAAAAAAAAAACTTAGCATTTATTAACTTCTCCCAACCCCCAAGTCTTACACTCATAATAACACTTTAATGCATTAAGAACAAGCATAAAAATATTTCTTTGAAATCCAACAAATATGAATTCCTTGAAAAGTCTCAACACATATGATAATTGTCCCTCATAATAACACTTTAATGCATTAAGAACATGCATAAAAAAAATTTCTTAAAAAGTCCAACACATATGATTATTATCAAAATATTAAACTTTCATATAATGTAAAAAAGAAAAAAAAAAGAAGACATTTAAAAAAAAATTAAAAAAATTGCAATTCACATATATAGATAATTGTAAATATATTAAGAAAAATGGAGTTTCTAAGCCCCAAGCCTTGTGGGAGCTCCAATCTCTCAATCTTAATTTTCTAAATTTTTTATTTAAAAAAAAAAAAAACTCAGCATTTATTGATTTAGTCAAAATCCCCTTATCAGCATTTATTAACTTTTTTCAATCCACATGCCTGCATTTATTGATTTGGTCAAAATCTCTAATTAACATTTAAAATCCCCTCATATAAATAATTATAGATACAGCTTGTGCATAGTTACTACAGTTGCCTTTTTAATTTCTTCTGTACACTATGGTTAGTGATAAAATTGTTAAATTATTTTTATAAAAAATCTTTAAAAACATAATTTATATATTAAAAAAATTAAAACAAATATAAATATTTGTAATTATCCTGTGCATAGCACGGGTGATAGGCTAGTATATTATATAAAGAGTATGATGTTTTTAATTTGAGTAAATAACACTTTGTCTCTTTAAAATTTCATTCATTTCTTACTTTAATCTTTTAAGTTAATTTTTTTTTTTTTTTTTTTTACTTTGACTCTTTATGTTTACAATTCTTTCTACTTTAGCTTTTTATGTTTGTAATCTTTCTCATTTTGACCCTTTAAGTTTAATTTTTTTTACTTTGGTCCTTTATGTTTGCAATTCCTCCCACTTTGACCCTTCATGTTTGTAATCCCTGCCACTTTACTTCTAGACTAACTTCCATCTAAAAAACTAATAGAATCTATCACATCAGCTCCATATGTGATGTAAAAAATTTACTAAAGATGCAAAAAATAAAAAAAGGAATTTTTTTTAGTCTTCAGTGAACTTTTTTTTTTTCTTCAAATTTATTCATAAACATTATTACATTATAGATGCATCTAGATTAGATGTAGCTAAAAAAATAAAAACAAATTTAACTAAAAAAGGAAAAAAAAATTCAAAAGACAAAAAAAAAAGACGATAGTAACTTTTAATTTCAGAATTGACAATATATGTGTTTGAATCAGTGAATTTTCATTTTTGTCGTCTTTAGCAAACTTTTTTTATTTTTTTAGTTAATTTTTTTAGCTGCATCTAATTTAGATGCATTTATAATGTAATAACAACGCTTATGAATAAATTTAAAACAAAAGTTCAATAAATACTAAAAAAAATTCTAATTTTTTGGGTTTCTATTTTTCATTTTTTGCATCTTTAGTGAATTTTTTACATAATACATGGAGCTGATGTGTTAGCAATGTGGCAGATTTTGTTATTTTTATTTTTATTTTATGGAAGTTAGTCTAGGAGTAAAATGGGAAGGATTGTAAATATGAAAGGCCAAAGTGGGATGTATTGCAAACATGAAGGACCAAAGTGGGAAAAATCAAACTTAAAGGGCCAAAATGGGAAGGATTGCAAACATGAAGGATCAAAGTGGAAAAAATCAAAATGAAAGGGCCAAAATGGGAAGGATTACAAATATGAAAGGCCAAAGTGAGAAAAATTAAACTTACAGGGTTAAAATGAGAAATGGGTGAAACTTTAAGGGGGCAAAATGTAATTTACCATTTTAATTTTGAAAGCTCTAGGAGCTTCAAAACTCCAATCCAATTATGCTGATTTTTTTGTTATTTTTTAAAAAGAAAAATATATCATTGGCTATTGAATTCGCCTATGACTTAGGAATTTAAATTTCAAAATTTTATACCTAACAATATACACATACTTTAAGGAATTGCTTTCCATAATAAAAATATATTATATATTTAACCTAACTAATTAAATTTTTTTTTAGTAGGAATTACTAAATCCCTTCCTTAAAAAAAAAAGGCTTATATTTTACTGCTTTTAATTTTGAGAACTCTAGGAGCTTCAAAACTCCAATCCAATTATGTTGATTTTTTTGTTATTTTTTTATAACCCGTTTGCAACCCACTCTACCCAACTAATCCAACACAGTTTCTTGATATGCAGATCTTGAAGAGAGACAACCATTTCTTGTGTATTTTCTCCTTCTTTTGATAGTAAAACCCCCTGTTCTTCTTCGCCTGTGGACGTAGGCTTATATCCTAACCACATATATGTTCGTGTTCTTGTATGATTGCTTGTTTTACTTTCTCATTTTTGTTTGTTCCGTCATAATAGTTCCCCACAAAAAGATAGATGAACTTTGAAGTGGAACATCAAATACTCATTCTAGAAGATATGATCGATGTGGGCTCAAAGGTGGCCCACCGAGCCATACTAGACGAGTCCTGACTACTCTCCAATTGAGAGAAGTTGAAATAGTGCAAATTTCAGGACAATCTCAAGAAAGGTCTCTAAGTGTTCCAAAAGAGGAGATGCATAATTGATCACATTTGAAGTGTTGCATGAATAAGAATACAAGAAATTTTTCAAAGACTTGCCTAAATGGTTGACTCAATAAATTTTTTATTTTTCTTGTTATTTGTTACTTCTATTTTTATTAATGCTTTTTAAAAAAATGCTCTCTATGTCCTATATTTTGATATCTTATTTGTATACATGCCTGCTCCAAAAATATTGGTCAAGGAATTAATTCAAAATTTTGATTAAAATTTATTATGCACATTTTTTTTATAAAAAAAAATCACACTTGTCAATATGAACAAATAAGCAAAATAGATTAGGAGTGTCCATAAGTTGATTTGATTTGAGTTGTACTAAAATTCAAATCAATAGTCATGATGAAATTTAAATTTTTGAAATCATCCACTAGAAACGAACCTAACCCAACTCAATATGGTTCGAGTTGGTTCGACATTCCACTATAAATAAAAAAATAATAAATAATTAAAATAAACAAGTCTTTAAAGACCAAGAACTATGAAATTGAGATACATTATTTATTTACTGAAAGCCAACTCTAGCTTAAATGCAAGCAATACAAATTAAATTAAATTAGATTTCTTTTAGGTAAAAAATTAAATACAATCAAACCTATTTTAATAAACAAAATAGATGAAAACAAATCAATATACATAGAATTATACAAAATATTGGTTCAGTTCTCAAGTTGGTTTGATTTGAGCAACACCTAAACTAAGATGAATCTAATCTTATTGAGTTGATGATTTCAAGATCCAAAACCAAACCAATACACTTAGAAATCAAACAAAACCGATACACTCAGAAGCCGAACCAAACCAACACAAAGAGGTCAGATTGGTTCAATTTTTGATTTACTAGGTATGTTGCACCCCTAAGATAGAAAGGTCTAAGTGCTTTATTTAATTTGACAACTAAACGAAGAACGTATCTCAATTCCATACCCCGAGAAGTCATGAATAACCCAAGTAAATATGAATGAAGTCCTTAAAAAGAAAGAGAATTCGTAGGCAATAGACAGAATTGCAGGAGTCAAAAAAAAAAAAAAAAATAGTTACTGAAATAAGGGTTGTGCAACCTCCCAGCAAACAATAGAAATAACAAAAAAGAATAAGAGGTGCAACTATTGATGGAGAGAAGAGTGATTGGATTGGAAAAGTGAAATCCTAGACTATTTTGGGTTGGGTTGTGAAATTCAATTTCCAAGCCCAAACTATTTATCAAATGGATCAAAATGTTGGCCCAGTCTAGCTTTAAGGACCAAAATATTTTTTTCAAATCCTAAAAAATAGGACTAAGTTGGACGGGCTGGATGGACCAATGAACAAATGCAAATCCCTCGCTCAGGGGGGATGCCCTCGGCATGGAGGAACATGTACTAGGGTATATGTGCGACTCGTTGGAAGGAGCCAAATGATAAAGACTTTACTCTATGTCTTGACCCATCCATAGTCTACTAATCTCAACGTCTTTCATCCCCTAGTCTACCCCATGCAGGTCAATTAGTTTGATCTGATGGGTCAATCAAAGTCGGGTTACGAGTTAGGACTGTTATCATATTCGGCCTTTTCATTATTGGGCCTGTTATCTTTTTTTTTTTTGGTAGATCATTTCCCCCCTCCTAAAAAAAAAAAAAAAATTACATAGACAGCCTATTCCCTAAGCAAAATGAGCCAAACTAAATAAACATTAACCCATTTCAAATTCCATAGATAGATAGAAATGAACTGAAAAAATAAAATTTGTTCATAAAAGTAGACGTTCACTTGAACAGTAATGCTGGTGATTATAAACTCAAAGCACAAAAAAATAGGCCATTGGCTAAGCAAAATTAGTCATATTAACCCATTTCAAATTCCATAGATAGATAGAAATGAACTGAAAAAATAAAATTTGTTCATAAAAGTAGAGGTTCACTTGAACAGTAATGCTGGTGATTATAAAC